TGGCAAAGGGAAAGAAGAAAGCAGCTGAAGATAAGGGCACTATGGGAACAAGGTAATTTTTTTTTTAAGACAAGTCCTGTTCCCCCCATCACCACAAGTGCCATTTATTTAAAAAACTACAGTTCACTGAAGCCACAGAAGAGGGTGCTCTTGAACTGAGAAACCTAGTACCTCCCTTTGCCCTCCGTTGCAAGATAACTTGTTATTGCTGATTCTGAAAAAGCCAATACAAATAATCCTTCTTGACAGAAAAAGAAGCCAGCACCTCTACAAAGTTACAATAAGTATAAAACAAAATTAAAATCAAACTTTCTTAGTAAATTACACAGAGAGAGAGAGAGAGAGAGAGAAAATGAAAGCACAAATAAAAAGAAATCAAAGAAAAATTACAAAACAGGAAAACTGAAATGAAAACATGAATAACCTATATTAAGCAATTGCATTATGAAAGGACACCATGAATCAGACATTCAAAAACTCACAATTGAAATGGACAAACAAGAAGATATGTGAAACAGCAGCTGACTGAACTTGGGAAAGTAAATGGTGAAAAAAGACAAAAATCATCTCAGAAATGAAAAGTGAATTACGAGGTAGACAGGGAAGATAGATATTCTAAAAGTTCAATAAGACACATAAAGAATAGAAAGAGCCAAGAAAATGAAACTGAAATAAGAGAAATAAAAAGGATCAGAAAGATAATTTTCCCATGTATTTAATTCAATACCTTGAACTAGGAAAGAAATAGAAAATTAACAGATACGTTATGAAGTTTAAAATTATAATAAAACTTTTTTGAAATAAAATGAGATTGAATTTCCATATTAAAAGCACTCCTGTTCCTTGTGTACCTGGGAAACTTGATCTATAGCAATCAACTTTTAAGCTATATATATCTTAGTGTTAGACCTTAAAACAAAATGGAGAAAAAAAGCGTGTCTGAGCTTCTAAGCCAAGAAATTAGGAATTTAAAAATTACACACTTCTTGATATCAAAATAAAGCAAGAAAAAGAAAACAATGGACGTGTTTTTAAGAAATTATAAAAATGAGTAATCATTTTAATTGATTGTAAAACATTAGATAAGTAAAATACTTAAATGTCCATAGCGATACTTAAGATTACTTGTGAATTACATTTGGGTAAAGTGGTACAGTTATTAAGAAACATTTCAGACGTATCCTTGGTTGATAAATATTTTGCTGAAATATTTAGATGTGAACTATCATGATATCTATAGCTCACTTTCAAGTGATCCAGTGAAAATAATAGAAAAAATATACAGACGTGTTTGGAATTTTTCATAACAGCTACATGACATTTTAAAAAGTTATTCAAAGCAAATTGCCAGATTTCAAATATGTTTATATACCTAAAGAGTATCTTTTATATTGACTGAGAGACATTTTGTGAGGAAAAAAATGTATTTTATCTTAGACATTGTTATTTTAAATTTTTGGAATAACCAATGTAGAGTGACTTTTTCATATTTGTTTTATACTTTTAATATTAATGTCAGTGATTTAATTTTTATTTTTTCAGCAGATATTTATTAAAACTGCTCATGCCTTAACAGTAATTGAGGCAGTGGAAACAAACTGCACAAGTGGTCACTGTATTCTTCCCACCATTGACCGCAGTAGAAAAGAAACAAACAAAAATACATCATTTATACTTAAGAATGTCCTTGATGAGGAAGGAAAAAATACTGAGTTTTTTGCTTTTTTTTTCTTGAGTTGTATTTATATATATTCTTAATACAAGTCTCTTTTTGGTTGTATGATTTGCAAAAATTTTCTCCCATTCTGCAGACTTTGTTTTTTACTTTCTTGATTCTGTCCTTTGAAACAAAAACGTTTTAAAATTTGTTGATGCCCTTACAGTTTGTTTATTTTTTTCTTTTGTTGCTGTGTGTGTGTGTTTCCACCCGCCTCCGAGATGGATTCTTACTCTGTCGCCCAAGCTGGAGTGCAGTGACGTGATCTCAGCTGACTGCAACTTCCACCTCGCAGGTTCACAAGCAATTCTGCCTCAAGTCTCCTGAGTAGCTGGGACTATAGGCACACACCACCACACCCAGCTAATTTTTTTATTTTTAGTAGAGACAGGGTTTCACCATGTTGGCCACAGACTGGTTTCGAACTCCTGACATCAAACGATCCACCTGCCTTGGCCCCCCCATAGTGCTAGGATTACTGGGGTGAGCCACTGCACCCAGCCTGTGTGTGTGTGTGTGTGTGTG